GTGGAGCTTCAGAGTTCATTCTTAGCGTGATATAAACAGAAGCTCAAGGGCAGCTACTAAATGGACCTTGAGGTGAGATTGTTTTGATTTCTAGTCACATATTAAAGGAATCTAATTCAGATACATTAAAAAATAAATTCAGATTCAGTCTAACAAGATCTGAAACTGTGTCTTCTTTTTAACTGTACACAAGTAAATGTCAGGATCAACCTTCTCCTCTGCAGACCAAGTTGGAGTCTACAGTCAGCACTTTGACAGTATTATACAGTACATTATACTTGTTTTACATAATAGTCACCAGTCAGCTTTTAAAATGAGGTTCTATTATGTTTACACATTGCTGTAGACGGCTATTTCATCTCCAAGGTTACTGACAACACCGGCAAGAGTGACACATTGAGGTGAGTGCATTACCTTGTGTGTACTTATTTTATTGCTTTTTTGTTGCATTGTAATATATTCCACTTAAATCACAACATAAATCCTGTATTTTGGGCAGGCAGATGGTGGCAGAAGGTATATTGTTTTATATCTTCTTTTTTTGTCAATCTTGCCATTGTCTGTCTCGTCCTCAACATTATACTTGTTTGATTATATCTTGGAAAACATAGGGCAGATTCTGCTACTTAATTGTATAAGTGTGTGAAATAGAAACAGAATGTAGTTAAGAGTCTTTGAGATTTGTTTTATCCGATTGCTTCCCAATCTATCTATACTGGGTATACCTTCAGCAAGAGAGAAAGCTTATACAAGCAGTGAATGCTGGACAAATACATGGACAAATACATGGAACACAGTGACTTTACTCCAGTCAGGACAGACCAAAAGATGAGGTCCAGCTTTTCCTGTGAGTCTGCTCCAAGTACGATTAAAATGAAATTAATAGAAAAAACAGCTTACTGCAAAGAGAAATATTATAGTTTCTATTTTATTCCAGCCAATGTTTACTTCTCTTGTTGGGACTTAATTCAGTGATGCCACAGTGACTTTTCTTGTTCCATTAGATGCTGCCGCTGCTACATTAGAGGATGATCCCAGTGTGCCACTATATGTCCTGGATGACCATGTAAGACAATACATTTTCCCTTTTAGTCCTGTTTTTTTAAGAAAAACATCTAATTGTACGATAGTAATTTTGATTAATACTTGATGACCTCATTTGATTTGTGTTTTTCTTTGGGTTTGGTAAGAGAATACCAGAGAGCTGTGCACAGTCTGTCAGTGACCCACCCACCTATTGTATTAGAGCAGCAGGAGTTCTGAGGTACAAACGGGAGTCTGACAACCACAGGATAAACTTAACAACCATTATTCCAGAGGTACTAAGATCACATTTCTATCTAGTGTTATAAATTCCATCTACAGCAACACAGATTTACTGGTTAATGGTTACTAGTTTGTTCAAATCAACATCCTGTTGTCCAGTCCCAGAATCTGACAGAATACTCAGTGAAATGTGAGTACTGTGGAGAAAATGCCAAACCTTCACTGGATCTAACATGGCTTCAGCGGCCCGAGGTGAGGGGGATGGTGAATATGCTAAAAGAAACTCCTCACATATATCTAAAGTATTGTTGACCTCCTTGCATCCTGTTTTGTATCCATCTCAGAAAGTCCCACTCTTCTGCTGTGCCCGGTGGCAGCAGCTGTGTGAGATGCTGCTGAAGCAGAGATGTTTAGTTGGGGGGAGATGTGACTTGAGGACTGCTACTCCAACATTAGTAGGGGATAAGCCGGCCCCGGACACAGAGGAACTTCTCTTCCAAGTCAGGGAGATGGAGGATCACAACAAGTTTATATTGGAGTTACCAAGCGGACTAGGGTAGAGATTCACATCATACATGTTCGACAGGTAGAGATTCACATCATACATGTTTTTTCAGTAGAGAGATTACAGGAAATCAAAAGGGAGAGAGATAGGGAATGACAGGGAATGACAGGGAACATGGGTCCCCAGCCTGACTCGGACCAGGGACATTGTGTTTGACATGGGAATGCACCAGTATTAATCCAAACATATCACATATAATAGTAATACACTGACTGGGACAATTTTTTAATGAGTACTTATATTTGCAATACTTTAAATACATTTAGCTGATAATACTTCCATATTTTTACTTGTGGTAGAGTATCACTGTGTGGTATTAGTACTGAAAACAAGCAGGTGACCACAGGATTCAGGGCTCTTATTCAAACTGACTTACCTTAGAAGCTACAAAGCTTGCAAAATCACCAAGTCACACATTTGACTGTTAAGAAGTATCATTTACACATCTTGACTTTCCTTTAGTATAAAACATTTTTTACTTTGTTTATTGATGTCATCTTTTTCTTTAAGGAATCAGGATGTCACCTGTTAGGGTTTTCTTATATTCAGCAGTGGTGTAAAGTAACTACGTATATTTACTCAAGTAGAGCTGTACATAACTGGGGATTTCCGTTTTCTGCTTTATACATACAAATTAGCTACACCTTGACCAGCTTCAGGATTAAAGTGACAGTACAGTACACATTACATCAATATATTATTTTAATTTGAATTAATATACTATTAATTATATTCCAATAATATAATATATAATTCTGACATGAGCCATACTGCATAAGGACTACCTTTACTTTTGAAACTTTAAATATATATTTGCCAACATTGCTGTACTTTTCTGTGGTATTGCTACTTTTACTTTAATACATCTGACTACTTCTTCAATCCTTTGATTTCCAGCATTTTCAAGAATGTTACAGCCAACCACACCATCAGCTTAATGTAATTTGAACACTTATAATCAAGTATAATATTTGGTCACGTCAGTTCCTTTCTGGCGAGCCAAAATTAGAAGATGAGGCACAATAATACAGCGGATTAGCTTCTTTAAAGTTTAATGTATATATCCTAATTCACAAAATAAAATAAATAACACAATTTGTTATTTTAAAATTGTCTCATTCTCTCAAGTCCTTTTGGTAAAGCTAATGCACAAGCTTGTGCTTGTCATGATTTTAAAATGTGCTAGCAAATTTGAAACTCACACCCAGAGATTGTTGAGCCATGGTGCCACCATGTGGACACCTTCCAATGGCCCCATTGGAGCCCCATATTAGCAAAACTAGAGACTCCCCAGAAACCAAAAACAATCTATTTCACCTCCAAAATGAGTGAAATAATGTTCATTTCTATAGGACCAACTTCACAATACAACTGAAACGCTCACTTCCCCCACTGACTCCCAACATTGTTAGAGTAGCCAGCAAAATAATTGCCAAACATCTATGATTGACAAGTTGTGAATGGCACCGTCTAAGCCAGCTCCAACCACCCGCTCTTGGAAGAATTTGTTTCTCCCCTAAAAACAGGTTTAAAATTTTCCATTTGTTCCAGGGACAAGTTTGTAGGTTGTTTTAAGTCAAATTTCCCCTCGAGTTACAAAAATCAATTTGATATGAAACAAGTTGGTACTTCTTGTAATGTGGACCCACTTCATCCAGTGGAAGACCTTTGAGTCCAGACATACCTGGAAGCTGTCTATTGGGGGGGGGATAAAAAAAAATATAAAGCCTTTACCCATGACAAGAATGATGAGAAAAATTATTAACTTGTTTCATATTTAAACTCTAGAAAAAGTTCACCCTTTCAGTAATATGGAAAAGTTATCACAAATGTATATAGTCCATGCAACCTTTTGTTTTGTCAAGCATAAAAGACCCTGCCAATATGGACTGCTCACCTTGTCTACACCCAGTAACACTTCATGGTAAGCCTGTGCCAATTTCTCCGCACAGTGGAAATCGTCAGGGCAGTTGGAGGGTTAAAAGTACAGACAACGCACTTATGTTTTTCAAACAATTTATTAAAACTGTTTCAACAGGCTAGCCTTGAGGGGGATACCGGATAAAGAACGGATAGTGGCCATGTGGATGACGATGTGGCTGAACATCCGGGGACGGAGTCAGTGGGGGGGCCGTTATCTCGGTTGTAGTCGTAGTTGGTGTCGTTTGTGGCTCAAGAGTTGGATATTGGGGATAATTTGGGATAGGTGGAGGGAAAAATGGAAATTGGGGATAGTGAGGGAAAAATGGATATGGAGGAAAGAAAGGTGGATATGGTGGAAACTGTGGTGACTCTGGTGACTGAGGTTGAGTTGTGGTTGATGGAGTGGTTGGTGTGGCAGTCGCTGGCAGAGGGCCTTGGTAGGGCCAAGGGAAGTAAGGTGGGTAGAAAGGAAAAGGAGCTACCATGGGTGCAGTTGGTGGCTTTGCAGTGGTGGTTGTAGTAGTAGTTGTGACTGGAAGAGGGGGAGGAAAGTAGGGATTAAAAGGACCAGGGTAGAAGGGGTACTGTGGAAATTTGCGCATTTTTGGTTTCTTTGTAGTTGTGGTAGTTGTTGCCGTTGTGGTAGTTGTTGCCGTTGTGGGTTCTGGCATAACTCCTGGAGGGTACTGAGCATAAGGATAGGGAAAATAATAGGGTTGGAGATCTGGGTTTTGGACACCGGGGATGGGCACCTGGGGCATAGGTTGTTGTAGGGCAGGTGTGGGAGCAGGTACTGCAGCTTTTGGACACACGAGTGAGACTGGAATTCCCTGCCAATGCATTGGGAGCACGTAATTTCCACCCTATGGAACAGAACACAAGAT